GGCTTTTATAGAATTCGCTTCTGTCCACTGACCCAAGGGCATTGGCAGCAATCTGGTGGAGTGGTTAACATGTCGAAATTATGCGCAACACAAACACAGTTTGGGTTCAAGTCCCGCTGGGGTTGCTGAGGAGACCAAAGTGAGGTCGAAACGGCAGTCCACTCTAGTCTGAATTAGAATACCTTTTGGGAAGCAAGTCTGGAAACAGGAAGTCCACTTAGTAAAATTCTACTATCATTTCTTCATCACCTTAATGGAATAGGGCGAATACAACTATTATACAGTTAAATTAACTTAAAAGAAGGCCTATTTACCATCCCCAACAATTCTTTCTCTTTACTTTTCTATCTGTTAGTTGCACATTTTCACTCTCCTCCCCGTTCTTCATCTTTTCACACTTAGTGACGGCCGTAGAAACAAAGGAAGTGTGCTCCGGCTATCCGTCAGCTATATCCTGGAGCTGCGCGAGACTATAGAGCATTTGTCCGGCCTGCGTCAAGAGAATCACCTATCTCGCCAGCTTATCCCACTAATGTTCCAGCGTCTTGAGGTGAGCTCCTTCTTCAACAAAGCATACTTTTTATCCCGGACAGCCTGTTGTTGTCGGCCCGTCCGAATACCCCTCGAACACTCATAGCTATTGCTCGTGTAGACTAGAGTTAGTCTTTTCCAATGGTTGGTCATCACTTAAAATCTTTTCATACAGTTGTCTTTAAATTGAGTTTTTTCTTAACTTTCTTTCCTTTTTCACGATTTAATCTAGTCGTCTTAGTAAAAGTGTCCTCTTCAACAACCTTCACTTGTTGAAAAATTTTCTTTTTTTGAGGGCATAGATTATGCATTATTCCTTTAATGAAAAAACTTGCCTGCAGATATGAAAATGAGAAGAATATCTCATTAAATCTGTTTTTAAAAGCGGGTATCAAGGCTTCATCATCTGACCTCATAAAAGACTGAAGAAGGGTTGAGTTAGAGCTGTGACTGTAGATTTGTGAAAATATTATTCGGCGCTGAGGACTTTTTCGCATAAATCCTCTTTGCAAAACTCCAATTTAACCCTCCTTTGGTTACCGTTTTGCCAAACCTTTTAGTAGACGTTTTCATTCGAGGTTACATAAGGCAATAAAGGCCTGGTAGTTGAATTCTACCACAATGAGATGAGCAAACCTCACGATGCCAGGGAATTCTCCTTGGCCTTGCACCCAAAAAGGTATTTGCATCCAAGGTGGACCGCGCTTAGGCCTTGCTTTGGTCCCACC